GTCGAGGAATGTTTCCTGTTGTGTCCCGACTTTGGGGGAAGGAGGCTTTAATCACGTCTGGATCTCAACGTTTGCCATGTTTCCTTTATTGATTTATAGGTCGTCTTTATGTTTTCAGATGACCGATCCATGAATATTTATCGGTCCTCTGCCCTGTGCGATGGATGGAGAGGGATGTACAGATTAATAACAATGATCGTAACACTCATCGGCGGTGTGGGTGATATTTATTCCGCTGTAGCCTCCCAAGGCTGCCTCCTAATTCAAAACACTAAAGCCACTTAGAGGTGGCAGATTGTTCCTTTGTGCAAGGATTCTGTCCATTCCAGACCAAGGTCTGGCCATTCCTGGACACACGCAGCTCCTGCAAAGACTTGGGAATCTAAACACACAGACTTCAGGAGCATGTTATGTCCTCTGTGTCCATTGGGAAATGAGGACTGGGGACGGTGGCCGGCTACCATTGAGGGTTCTGCATGATGTTGCATCCAGGGGTGTGGTTTCAAGATGGTGTTGTAGAGTCTCATGGATGGGGTCCTTGGCCAGGGATTTGGGTTTTGGCCACAGTTGGCTTTCTAGAAAACGAATTTTTACATGATTTTGGAGGGGACACATGCTCACTTTTCCACCGTGCCACTAGCCCATCAGAGCTGACCCACTTCCATGGACCTTCAAGACTTAATATCTGCAGACCACGTGCTCACGGGGACCCACCCCGAGGGCCTGACTATCTCCAGAGCTTTTCCAAAGGAGGTGGCTTATTAGCTATGCCTTTGGGACCGATGGACCTTGCCCAAAGTCCAAAGGAGAAGCAGTGGGCACATGCATGATGGTACCAGGTGTGGAGTTGAATGATGCATATGGTGGGTGTTGGATGCATGACGCTGACGTTGGCCGATGGAATGGAAATCACATCATTCAAGATGGCGGAACCCAATGGTGAAGCACCCAGAGGTGGGAGAGCATCATAAGGCTTTTTAGGAATTCATTTGTTGATGAAAAATTGATGAATTCATCCATTCAATGTTGGTGAATGGGGAGGCAGCAGGTAGCGGCGCCCGTTGAGATGGAAGGCAGGAAACTCATGGTGGATAGAGTTGGAGGTCCAGCCGTGGATGCAGCTGTGGCCGACAGGTTGGGAATGGGGAGGGTGCGTCCCCTTCAGAGGCTGCCGAGCAATGTCTTGGCTGAACACCAAGACAGGGGACATCTGTAGGAAATTGGGGTGAGGTTTACAAAGTTCAGAAAGAGTGCAGAAGGCCGTGGAGGTCAGCCTCGGACCTGCTGTGAAATTGGACCAATTGGAGAGATTCCTGGTTTTCAATCCTCCCTGTTCTGAGAACTGAACGTGTGTGTCTTCTGAATGTGGTCAGGTGACGAGCACCAAGCCATCTCCATACATTCTGGTCACCCTTGTCAGAATACATTCACGTCCCAGCCCAGAACCTTTTGGACAGGAACTCGGAACTCTTACTGAGAAACGTGGACTTCCTCGCCTTCAGATATAGATTGCAATTTAGATACATCTATGTCCAAGTAACTTTATATTATTTAATTCCTCCCACTGTTTAGAGATAAAGAAATATACTATTTGTATATATCTAGATACATGAAATATGTACATCCTTATATAAATACGGCTACATAAAAATATGTGAATGGATATTGTAAAATATTCATACACTTGTATATACGTATGTAAATATATCCTTATATATAAGTGTATAGATATGTACTTCTAAGTGTATAAATATATACTTCTAAGTGTATAAATATATACTTCTAAGCGTATAAATATATTTGCCTAAGTGTATAAATATGTACTTATGTAAGTTCATAAATATACACTGCTAACTATATAAATATGTACTTATATGTATATATGAATATAAATCAGGATATTTATGGTTATATATACTTACGTAAGTATATGAATATTTATAATTATATTTAAATAGGAATATAAATATATCCTTATATAATATATATTATCATACAAATACATGTATATACTTTATAAGTATAAATATAATAAATTTATATTATATAGTTTAATATAATTTATATTATATTATATTATAATAATTTATATTATGTAGTTTAATATAATTTATATTATATTATATTATAATAATTTATATTATGTAGTTTAATATAATTTATATTATATTATATTACATTATAATAAAATATATTATATAGTTTAAATTAATCATATTATAAATATATATATAAGTAACTACATAGTGCTATGTATGTCCTTATTTATTTACTTGAAATATAATATATATTATGTACACTGATAGTATTTAAATATATGCTATATAAATATTCACTTGCAATTGTAGAAATATAGACTAATGTGAGAATATAAGTTTATAAATATGTGTATTTTTTATCACTGAAAAATATAAAAATATATAGTTTTTGTTTTATATCATAAACAGAGACACCTATTTGCTACTAAATATGTTTTATTTTATTTATATGGATTATTTTTTTCTCATATTGTATATATATGATATATCATGGGTGATAAAATTACCATCGTATTATAAACTCATTAAAATCGCGTGATGGTTTTTTAGTTGTGCACATATTTTGCATCAACGTGTCACTGCATAGTTTACACATAGACTTCTGACATTCTGGGTCCTTGACTCCCACCCACCTCTGGTCTCCTTCGGTTCTACTCATGGAATTGGCTTCTGTGACCCTCTGCTCCTCCTCGGTCCCCCAGGATGGCTGCACCCTGCATTCCAACCTCAGTGCCGGCCTCCTCCTCCTCCCTCTCTGTCCAACAAAGCTTGGTCCCGACTTTTCTCTATGTTGGGTCCAACAGTCAAGTGCACCCTCCTCCCCTCCCGGGCCAGGCTAGCCCTGTCCACTGCACACTGAGTTCTCACAGATGGTGTCCTCTCCACCGGGCCCGCCATCTTGGATTCACACCCTCTCTCTCTGTTCTGCTCCTGATGTGACCACTTGTGACTTTCCACCTCCCTCCGACATCTGTGTGGCATCTCTTAGGCTCTCTTGGCATTGTCCTTCAGATGACCTTGGCTGCTCTTGACTGTCATTCCTCAAAACCATTCTTGCCTTCATCCTTTGAAATAATAGATAATATCAGGCTGCTTTGCCATTGAGAAATCATCAACAAACCTCCACCTTTTCCTACCCCTGGTCCCAACCTGATGGTCACACATTTAGACACAACTTCCTGAGTTCACCAAATCACTATTTCTCAAAAACTCTTCTCTAACTTCTGCATGAATTATTCAAATTGTTTATTTTTTGGGGGGATAATGGGTACTCAGTATTGAACTCAGGGGCCCTCGACCCCTGAGCCCTGTCCCCAGCCCTATTTTGTATTTTATTTAGAGAGAGGGTCTCACTGAATTGCTCAGGGCCTCCCTTGGGCTGAGGCTGGCTTTGAACTCGTGATCCTCCTGCCTCAGCCTCCTATCGAGGACTCTACTTCCTGGAGGCTTGCACAGTAACTAAGTGAAGCTTGTAAAGTCGCTGTGAGAGGCAAGTAGTTATTTCTACGCATTTGACATTCCCCGGGGTCTTGCGTTTTTATCTCTGACCCATCTTCCATTTCTCCTTGTTGATGGAGAATATTTCACCTAGGACAGTTTTGCACTGTGCTAACCACGAGCCGCATTTGCTTTCTCTGACCTCTTGGTCTTCACCCAGCGAGCCCCCTGACCTGTCCCCAGCCCCGTCTCCTGCCTTTCTCTCCTGCTAGACTCGCCCTCTTCTGGTTTTGAGGTCTCAGAAGCCGTGGACCTCAATGCAACATCTGCATGTGGCACCTCTCCTCTGGTCCAAGGGAGGCATCCGGCCTCCGCTGTAGCAATCGCCAGACGCTCCGTAGATGGTCACTGAGAAAACGAGAAAAATCAAAGCGTGTGCTCTAAGGACGACCTTTAAAAACTCAGCCATCTGTTTTCTCAGCCACGCAGCCCAGCCACAGAGACCGGGGGAGAAGCCGCCTTTGATCATTGAACCAGCGTGTCCCCTGTCACCTAAGGGGACACAGGACCTTTGTTGATCCCTCAGGGTGGTGTTTGGGTACCATCGGGACCTACTGGAAATGTATGGATCCCCAGGGATTCATTTCTCAGTGCCTCCAGATGGTGTCTGACTTACCACCCTTTGATTTTTCTGTTTGGTATTTTAAATGCATAAGGACCTTTCACCACGTCGCTGACTTCATGCACATGTTAGGAAGGAGCCTCCTCACAAACTGATGGGCTTCTGTGCTTTTCTACTCAAATTTATTTTCATCGACGTTTTTTAAAAATTTATTTATTTTTTCTGTTTTGATAAAGATGGTGCTAGAATAATTTTGTTCCATGGGTCCTTCTAACCCAGGTCTAGGTTGCTGAATGTGACCCATCGGAAGAAGGTCAAGGATTCTGCACTTTGCATCGTTTGTATTTTATAAAGAACCTTGCATCCCCCTGTCTGTGTGGGTGGGTGTGCATCAGTGTGTGCAGGTGTGTGATGGCATGTGCACAGGCAGACTTCACGTAGGTGTCCGTCACGGGTGACATCGGAGGCTCAATACCATCATGGCAAAAATCGTCCTGTAGGTTTAATATCCCACTGCAAATATCCAAAATCTTAGAGGCTACAGAATGCAAAAACGTTGAGCTCTGACTCGACTTCACAAGTGGATAATTGCACACCAAGAATCTCCATTTCATGCACAAAATCATTGCAGATATTACCTGAAATTAACTTTCGGGTTTCTGTAGAAGGTGCACAGAGAACATGAATTGATTTTGGTTTCGGATGCATGTCTCAAATCCAAGATATCTCAGGATGTATATGTCCATTTTCCTAAAACAGAGTCCAGGCAACCGGAAGCACGCAGATACTCAACATTTTGGATAAGGGACGGTGCACCCGTAGGGTTATATGAAAAGTCCCCTTTATATGCATGTCCTCCTGTGTGAAAATACTGATTTTTTTTCTTTCTCTCTCTGTCCTAGGAGTCTTCCTAACCAGCTCCTGGGGGCGAGTTGGAATGGCTGTGCACATCTCCGTGAATCCCGTGTGCTGGGGCTGTCAAGATGAAATTATATGGAGAGGCTTATTTGAAACCTTATCGTAGGTGGAACACGTCATCGCTGGCCTCCACCCGTGAAGGTCCTCTGTAGGTGGGTACCACCGTGGTCATTCCCCGTATGTGGACACGCCATGAGAATCTGTGGACCGTCTGACGGTCACACTGGCTGATGTATTCGTAGTTTGTAAATATTGGATTAATTCCACCTTCTCCCTCGAGTGCACAATGTTGTGCAATGGCACACGATGCAGGCTGGATTGAGAGTGTGCTTGTGTGCATAGATCCAAAGCTTTTTGTTATTAAATACATTGCAAATGGGATGTGTGTGGTAAAGTACGGATTTGGTGTGAAAACAAGAGATTGGAAAGTGCGATTTCATGTGCACTTTTAGGTAAGCGATTATATGGTCAAATCTATCTGTCTCTGGGGGTTCTACAATAGGCTATCGAGTCCAAATGGCTTAATAAAATCCACAAGTCTTTTTATCTAGAGAATTTTTCAGCCTTTGGAACATTTTGTTAACGGAGTCTAACAACTTAGCTCAAAAAAAAAAAAATCAGTATTTATGGTATAATGCCACGGCGTGTTCCATCCTGAATCATGTAGCAGACCAAAAGGAAGGTGACACTGTTTGAATGAAGGAGTGTTGACGTGAACACTTAGCACCCAAGTGTCTGACCTATGAGGACAAAGAAGAAATTCTCTGACTCTGGTGTTTGGGGTTTTCCCCACACATAGAAATCATTCTGGAAGATTGAATGTGTGAGTCAGTTTTCCATTGCTGTGACAAAATACCCGACACAGTCAACTTAAAAGGACAAGAGGGTTCTTTTCATTCATGGTTTCAGGGATTTCAGTCGCTAACCACTTGGCACCATTGTTTGGTTCTTTTTTGTTGTGGAACATCATGGTGGAGAGTGTGTGGTAGAGACAGCTACTTATCTTGTGGTGGACAGGAAAGAGAGAGAGAGAGAAGAAGAGGAAAAGGAAAGAGGGCCCTGGAGGGAAGGGCCGGCATCCCACAATGCCCTTCTAGGCCACACCCCCAATGACCTAACATCCTCTCACTAGGCTCCGCCCCTTAAAGGTTCCGCCATCTCTGCATAGCACCAGAGACTGGGGACCAATGTTCAATACATGGATTATGGGGTGCATTTCATATTCAACCCCTGAAATCCCACAAAGAATTACCCTTTAAGAAGAAACAAACCACAACAGAGGATTTTGAATGTTCTCATCTTTAGGAAATAATAAATATAGGAGGTTTTGTAGACTAATTACCAGATTGGACTATTTAAAACTGTATACATGTGTCAAAATAGCACAGTGTACCTCACAAATATGTGCAATTATTATGTGTCAACTAAAAATGAAAAAAAAAATGCACATGTATTTAGGAAGTACTTGAGCTCATGTATCAGGGAAATGAGACCCAATTGCAGTGAGAGTAGTCTAATAACCTGATGAGCAATGGAGAGGGATTGAGGTAGGAGAGGTGGAAGATTTCCTGTTGTGCAGGGAGAATGCTTTGAGGCTAATCCTTCCAGAGAGAACTCGTGTGCAAGAACACGGTACTTTCTATGGAGTCTATGTAGACTGTGCAGCTAGACACCAAGCTGTAATGAGCACATTTTGTTTTAATTTTTGCAATATTCCATCTGAAAGTAGAAGAGACACACACACCAATGTGGTTTTCATTTCCAGCCAACGTGGGTACTTAGGCCAAGCTAGAAGCAAAATCAAGCATGCCAAGAAATAGAAAGTCAAGCCTAAAACAATAATTAAGGCTTTCATCCATCCAACACAAATCATGCCCAATCTCATTTTTTTTTTCCTTTCCTTTTTGGTCCTTGAGATTGAACCAGGGCTACTCTATCAGTGAGATCCGTCCCCGGCCCTAGTTTATTTCTCAGTCTGAGTCACCGTCATGTCAAATGGTCGAGAGCCTTGTGAAATTGATGAGGCTGGCCTCACACTTGTGATCCTCCTGCCTCAGACTCCCAAGTCGCTGGGATTTCCGGCATGTGCCTCTGCACCCAACCAACTCACACTAATTTTTATAGAACTTTTCTGAAATACCCATATGGCATTTTTTTTTAACTTGATAACTTGGAGTTTAACACCATCCTGTGGTTAGGAACAGAGGTGGGATCTCTGATCTGATAAAATGGAGGTAGAAGCAATTTCTAGAGATATTAAGAATGCTCTTATATTTATTTAGATGAAAAGGTCGCTTGATATTTTGAAAACTCCAAGATCCTTGTTGGGATTCTCTGTTTAGACATAGAAGGTTTTAGGATTGCAAAAGCATCCTCTGTGCAGAGAAGATTCCCCGGTGAGATGGCCAGGAAAGTGCTCAACAGTTGTGGGACAGATGCTGGACAAACAGACAGCATTTTCAGTGCCATGGATTGCAGAGGGCGGGACCGTGTGCGAGTGGGCACGTTCCCATCCACCACCCTAGGGAGACCTCTCTGCCGTCCAGGATCAGACCTGGGGATGTGTGAGGGCTTGGGATTGGATTGGCTCTTCTCGCTAGTTTTCTGAAGATGATGAGTTCCTCATTCAAAGTGGCTGGAAACAACATAGATATACGGTATATTCTAAAGAATGCGTTCACAGTGCCCAAATTGTGACGGTGAGCCACTTGTGTGGCAATGACTTCAAGTTGTGTTTGCAATCTGTGCGTGTGTCCCAATATTGTGCAGCAAAGACCACAAAGTAGGCATGGCTCTGTCCTCTCTCAAGTTCCTTGATGGACTGAGGTCCCAGTCCAGAATGACCAGCTAGTCCCTCTTCAGCAAACCCTAAGAAAAATTCACAAGGAACAGCATATCGGCTTTGAAGCAATCATGGAGTGGTGAAATATGTTTCTCTTTTATTTTTTTTAGGGAGAAATGTGCTGACATGGAAAAGATCATCAAGTAGCCTTCCATGAAGGCATTTTGAAAGGCACCCGGGCTGAAGGACAGTGTCATGGTGAGTATTCACAATACGTATTGGCCAATCCAAGATGGCGGCCACCATGGTGCTGGCTACCCTGTGGGGCTGGAGAACCAGTGTCCATCTGGGCTGTGGGCTTTTTTGGATTGACTGTGGACAGGTTTCTGCATGGAGCTGAGGCCAGAGAGTTGAGTGCTTTTTTTACTGTAACATTGACAACTTCCATTCTTCTCTTGGGTCTTCCTTTACCCATTGGATTGGCGCTCAGATAGAAGATTGCAGTCCTGTCCCAATGTAATTTCCAGGAGGATTGGATTGGGATCTGTCTAGAGGATCGCCTGAAGGATTCAGGTCTGGGTTGGGGTTGGACATCAGATCTCTACCTCTTCTAAAGGAGAAAACTGTCCCTCAGAATGGATGTTGTCCCAGGATAATCGGCCACACCTGGGGGACACTAGAAACTCCAATAATCAGGCCACTCAATCTTGAGCCCCTGCACTTGGTCAGTCTCCTTGTAACCCTTGGGTCCTCCATGGCTCTGACATCAGGGAGAGATGTCCTCAAAGAGTCTTTAGGCTGCAGGTTGGGAGGAGCATTTTCAGAGTGTGACCTTGACCTTGGGTATTTATTATTTTTTTAATGTTTTCATTTTCTTTTCTTGACAAGAGGAGATAATTGGATACCTAACCTGTTGCCTTCTAAGAATTGAAAATGCTGTGCCCCGTGCCTGTGCTCATGTTTCTATGACGCCCAAGTTTTCCAGGGAAGGGGAATGAGGCTTGAAGAATTCTATCATATCTGTGTGAGCGGGAAATTATCACTAGTGTGGAAAATGCCTGATCTGAATTAAAATACATTGGACCCTTTGTATCCAATGTTTCTGCTCCAGGTGACGCATCCAAGCTCAGATCAAAAATATCTGATAAAATTGCGTTCATCTGAACACGTATCCACGGTTGGTCATTATTCCTGAAGTGATACAGGGTGATGATATTTACGTGGCATTTTTAATAGCATTATTATAAGTCATCTAGAGACGGTCGAGTGTGTTCAGGAGGAAATGTGCAGGCTATGAGGACTGTGTCGACAGGAAACCCTGGGTACTCAATAATTGCATATGGCAGGTCTCCCAGGTGAATCTTCTGGCTGAAAGTGTACGCATGCATTTCACTTGAATCCCACAGAAATCCTCAGAGAGGCACGTCTTTTAGGGTCCTTAGCTTCTTTTATCCCACTCTTCTCCCTGCAAATGAGTCCCTACAGTGCTTTCCTGGCTGGTCATCTTTTCTTCAAGCCATTCTCTCAGTGGGCAGTGTGCAAGTTGTGCACAGTTCTTTCCCACCACGGGAAGGGTGCATTGAGAGACAGCCACAAAGCAAAACCCTGGAAGTCTCTGAGCCCTGCTGACTGAACTCCGTCCGTGCATTATCCACCTGGTGAAATCAGGCTCGTTTGGGGGCAACTGCTTTGGAAACCTAGTTGAGTTCTTGACAGTAAACGTAATGGTAAACCATGACCAGTTCATTTGGAGTGTCCATAAGGACAATTTGGAATTCCCTAGTATGACTTCTTCTCCCCAAAGAGCCACATGCAGAGTGCCTCTCTGTCATACAAGGCACCAATGAGTGACTCTGCTCTGTCCTGTTGGTGCAGATCTCTTGGAAGTTCATCCTTCCTCCCTCTGCTCACCTGTTGTAGCATAAACACCTCTGGTTATCTGAGAACCGAAGAGTCCTTTGAACTGGGCCCACTCTCTCTCATTCTACCCTATTCATTTGTTGCCATTTCAGAGGGATCCAGAATGTCAGACACATGTTTCTGATGCAGGCTGAGGTCCACTCAGACCTCGAGATCCTTTACATGATCTAGAAAACTGCAAACAGGATAGAACCCAAGCAAAGAGAGATGGGTAGGAAATGTTTATGGCGTACTCTTGTTAGCCATCCGTAGTAGAAACATTTCATGATTCAAATTCTGGACTCTTTTCCCCAAACTCAAATATTTGAAAGGATCATGTTATGTTTCAATCTATTCCCAAATCAGTACTCACGGATTTTCATGGTTCAGCTGCCAACTCCCACCCTACACAGGCAGCATCTATGACTGTGTTGCTTAAATATGGGTTTCTGGCCAATTTTCTCATCAATTTTTAGGCTACAACTAAAACATACCTGTCAAAATGGAGACGTCCAATGTGGAAATTATTTTTCTTAGTTGACAAGATGATTCATCATCTGTTTTTTTTGTGTGTGTATTTTGTACACATTTTTATAAATTTTATCAAAGGTATTTAATGAGAATCCCATGAACATAGACATTCTCATCAGAATATATACATATGGCTATATAGAGAGTCAGTCACACATCATATGACACATCCTAGGAATTCCACTGTCTTGATGGAATCAGGCTGCCCCCATAGAAGGGAAAATGGTAGCCGTAGGTGGAGAAAGGGGCTCTGTCCATGGGTGAGCCACAGCTCCTCGTGCCATGGCTCCTACTCTGAGACCCAAAGGAACGTCACATAAAGTGCACAGTCGAGGGCAGCAGAGAAGATTGTCTCCACTGTGACGGTGTCTCACCTTAGGGCTGTGCTGTGGGGAGGCTGTTGTGACGTTCTGAGGTGAGCTTTGGTTAGGAATGGGTCCAGATGGACAGCCAGTGGACGGACAGCACAGCTAGATGGACAGCCAGTGATAAATGATGTGTTCTTGCCTCACAATCTTTTTGTAAAAAAAAAAAAAAAAGAAAGTGTGCGTTTTGCAGGATCACATTGGTCCTGCAGTCACACATGTGCATACAGTAACAATGTCTGTTTCATTCTATTATCTTTCCTATCCCCACGTCCCCTCCCCTCCCCTCCCATCACTTCCCTCCACCTAATCTAAGATAATGCTATTCTTCCCTAGCGCCTCCCTGCTTTATTGTGAATTAGCATCTGCATAGTAGAGACAACATTCAGCCTTTGGTTTTGTGGGATTGGCGTATTTCATTTAGCCTGATATTCTCCAGCTCCACCCATTTACCTGCAAATTCCATCACTTCACTCTTCTTTAAGGCCGAGTAATATTCCATTGAGTATGTATACCACATGTTCTTTATCCTTTCATCTATCGAGGGAAACCTAGGTTGGGTTCGTGGTCTAGCTGTTGTGAATTGAGCTGCTATAAACATGGATGTGGCTGTGACCCTATCGTGTGCTGATTTTAAGTCCATTGGGTATAAACCAAGGAGTGGGATAGGTGGGTCCAATGGTGGATCCATTCCCAGCTTTCTGAGGAAATCTCCATCCTGATTTCCAGAGTGGCTGCACCAATTTGCAGTCTGACCAGCCGTGTGCAGCAATCTTAAGAACCTCTTTCAGTAAGCGGCGAAAACTCCCTGGCTGTTTAGTTAGAATAACTCCCGTTCAGCGGTGTCCAGATGGTTCACAGCATCAAATTGCACAGGAGGAGCATGGAGTAGGGAGAAGGCATGAGTCTGCATCTTTTGATCTCTCTCTCTCTGTCTCTCTTCTTTTAAAGCCACTCGTGCTCAATCAAGGCGGATCCACTCTATAATGTATAGCGTGTAGCCGAAAAATGCATGCACCTGTGGGTGAGGACATCCATGTCTACTAAATCTGCTCCCAAGTGGCTGAATTTCCATGACTAGTTTTCCGATTTGTCTAGATCCTAAAGAGTTTCTGAATTCACTCCCTTGTAATGTGAAGAAGCAGGAGTTACAAAATCAGAACAAAAATGGCCTGAGAGTTACAAATAATTGACTCTATGAATTCTTGAAAAATTCAACTTATGCCATTTTAATAACATTTTCTGTGTACAGTCGACCAAACACGTTCTGATTTCATAATCACTGTTTAGGGAGTCAATTTTCCCTGGGTTTCTATGGTAGTTTGGAATAGTCTTGGAATTTACCTTTTAAGATTAATAGTTTGGAATATTTTACTCATTTTTTTCATTGCTGTGAACAAAAGGCCTGATAAGAACATCTTAGAGGAGGAGACATTCATCTGGGGTTCATGGTGTCCGAGGTTCAGTCCCTGGTGGCCGACTCCATGGCTCTGGCCCAAGGGGAGGCAGAACAAGATGGCGGCAGGGCCTGGAGGAGGAGAGCAGCTCAGGACAGGGCACCAGGGAGCAGAGAGAGCTCTGCTCACCAGGGACAGGACAGAGACCCCAAAGGCACAGCCCAGGGACCCCCTCCTCCAGCCACACCCCACCTGCTGCAGCCACCACCCAGTGAGTCCATCCAAGTGGATTAATCCACTATCAGGTTACACCTCTCATAACCCGATCATTTCACCTCTAAACTTTCTAGCTTTGTCTGACACTGGAGCCTTTCAGGGGCCACTTCATATCCAAACCACAACCGTGATCTTATGTTAGGATTAATTTTATTGCAGTGATAACATGGTCAGATTCAAAATTGATGGTCAGGAAAAAACATCCCTTCCTGGTGTTCCTGAAACCTAGCTTCCATTTCTAAGTCAGGGAATCCAAGGGTGTCCCAGGAGAGAGGACGTCCAGTATTATATGGAGCATCATGTGTGCTGATGTGGAGGATTCTGGGGATAAGGCACTTCTGAGACCAGCCAATTTGCATGTTGAGATCCTTTATAGTGCACTTAGTTGCACACATATTACCCAATGTCATCGTTTACTAAACCGTTCGTGATTTAATGTAGCTGTGCAAATCAGTCTGACACAGGGACCCTTGAGTTGTTTGGAATCCAGCGACTGAATAAAAATTTGACGGTATTCAAATGCTACCACAAAGGCATCTAAGATATGAAGGACATTTCCAACGCAGAAATCGGGATAAATTGTGCTTGAAATATCTGTCTGGTTCTGGTGATAAATCCCCTCCACTTAGTGGGAGAAAAACACATAAATTCCAAGAATTGAACAAAAAAAATGTTTTCTCTTTTCCTAGCTGTGGAGCCTGTTGGAATTAATAAGACTATTTTGTTTTCTTGGAAATACAAAGACAAGTTGAACATAGCTTTTCAGCTAAAGTGAAGTTTTCATATTTAC